ACTCCATGGAGAAGAAAGCAAAAGCAGAATCAGACACGGAATTCATACTGCGAAGGATGGATTCCTGCTTCTGGACGTTGATTGGCACTTCTCCAAGCTCAAACTGGCCTCCAATGGTGTTGAAGATCAATCTAGGGCACTTGGGAACTCTTGCTCGTCACTTTCTCTCTCTAGGAACTGATCTCTCTCTCAAAAACTCGAATCCCCCTCTGAATTGTGGCTGAAATTCTGCTTAAAAGGAGAAAATCCCGACTCACACGGCCAAGGTGGCACGGCCGTGCAGCTCACCCAGTTGCCAGTGTGAGTCAAAACGCATCGTTTCATTTAGTTCGAATTCCAGGCTCTTTGCACGGCCAGAATGGCACGGCCGTGTGGACATCCCCTCTTGCCCGTGTTTGCTCTCGCAGAATGTGGCACGGCCAACCCGGCCACTTGCACGGCCGTGTCGATCCTCTGCTCTGCCCGTGTCTGCTCTCGGCGAAACTCGCACGGCCAGGCCATTCCTTCACACGGCCGTGTGAACATCAGGGTAGCCCGTGTGACCTCCTTTGCGACTTGCCTCGCGCCGAACTTCGCCCAATCGACCCCGAACTCGCTCCTAAACCTTCATTCACTTGCCAAGACCTGAAATATCACAAACAAGCACAACCTAGCGTGAAATCGGTCTAAAACACGAGAAACCACCTCTCAAACGGTGTAAGAACAGGGGTGAAAACATGTGTAACTAACGGTCTATCAAACTCCCCCACACTTAACCGTTTGCTTGTCCCCAAGCAAACCTAACTCAAACCAATGCAACTCTCTAGACCTCTATGGCAACAAACAACCCAGATCGTAGGTAGAGGACTTCCTAGATCATTTAGCAGCTTACGAGGTCAACCGACACACAAGTCATCTCAAAGCTTCTTATCGAGTCGGCATCATGGCAAACAGTGAACAGAGGACAAATGAATTGTGGATGAAGAGATTCTCAAAAACAAAGGATCATGGACACACATTTTTCAAGGTGCTCTATTTTCTTCTTGAAGATGGGTGAGACCCCTTTTTTTTCCTGTTTTGCTTGTTTTCTGATATTTTTCTTTTCTTTTCTTTTTCAAGGGTCCCAACCTGCTCTTACCGGCCATGCCAGGAGCGGATGTCTCGAGCCTCGTGCGGGGGAAAGACATGTAAGGGGGCTGGAGGTAGTAGGTGGAAATTGGGAACGAATTCCCGTCTCCCCTTACACACTTTCGCCCTATTCGCACGGGAGACGTTATTTTAAGCACATTTTTGAGCACCTGTTAAACTCAAAACATGATACAAGAGTCCATGACAGGCAGAGAATCCACAACACCACACAATTCAAGAGTCCTAAGATCACTAATTCACTCAATCAACCAACTCAATATGAAGAAGAAATGAGACTTCTTAAATGCATCAACATCCTCCATAGTGCTACACTACCTCCCTAGGTTGCATATTACTATAAAGACTGTCAATTCAAAGCATACTGAGGAGGCAATTGCAAGGAACACGTACTTGGAGCCCTCAAATTTAAAAATTTGGACAGTGGACTAGGCTCCAAGCACACAAACAGATCTAATGCAGTCAAAAGATAAACACCCCCCCACACTTAAGCTCGACATTGCCCTCAATGGAGAAGAGGGAAGGGAAAGGGGAACGATGTTACCGGTATGCACGGACTGCAGGGGACTGGAAACGGGCCAGTCGGGGCAAGCACAGCCAAAGGGAAACAGAAGAGCTCAAACACAATATGTTAGGTTCAATGGTCAGCCCAATAAAATATCATCCAGACCAAAAGAAAACAAACCAAACCCAAACCGGGTTACAATCCGACTCAAAACACAAGAAAGAAAATCAAACCGTGGTGGGGTTGCCTCCCCACAAGCGCTTCTTTACCGTCGTATTAGCTGGACGCCCATGGTGGATACTCAGGGCGGTGCAGGAACAGGTGCCTCCAAGAGCGGATCCACGTCGCTCTTGAGGTACAGCTTCAGGTTGTGGCCATGCACCCGACGGATGCGACCACTATCATCAGTCAGCTCGACCTGCCCATCTGGCAAGATACAGGCGAGCGAGTACCCAGACGGCCAGGGTGGTCGTGGTGCAGGAGGTGGGACCAGCTCATAGTGGTCTCCACTCTTCTTCCGTGCAGGCTTAGCAACCTGCTGCTTCGGCCGCCACTCCTCCTTGAGCTTTTTGTTCGGAGGCGAGGCCGGATGGAGTGGCGGCGAAGGAATGATAGGAGGGTCCTGCAAAATAGGAGGTGCAGAAGGGTACACGACAGACTCGTGTACCTGATCAGACATAGCATTCACAGGCGTGACAGCAATCATAGCACAGTGATCAAACTCAGTCACAGAAAAAGTAGCCTGTTCATCCCCAGCACGCAAGATCAACTTACCATCATGCACATCAATTAGTGCCTTGGCGGTGGCAAGAAATGGCCTACCTAGAATCAAGGGCACATCCACATCCTCATGTATATCAAGAATAACAAAATCAATAGGATATGTGAATGCACCAACACCAACAAGCAGATCCTCTATGATTCCCCTAGGATGCACAATAGAACGATTAGCTAATTGAATGCTCATCCTAGTAGGGCTAAGTTCACCTAGGTCTAGCATTTTATACAACTTATATGGCATGACGTTAATGCTAGCGCCTAGGTCCGCCAAGGACTTGCCTACATGCATGCTGCCAATAGTAAGAGGGATAGTAAAACTCCCTGGATCCTTGCGCTTCTAGGGCAGCTTGTTCTGCAGGATAGCAGAACACTCCTCGCTCAGGATCACTGTCGAGAGATCCCCAAGTTTCTTCTTGTTGGTGCAGATATCTTTCATGAACTTGGCATACTTGGGCATCTTCGACAGTGCCTCCATGAACGGTATGCTGATGTTGAGCTGCTTCAACATTGCCATGAACTTGGCAAACTCAGTCTCCAGCTTGTCCTTGTGTAGGCGAGTGGGGAAGGGAAGCTGGGGTACATGCTCCTTAATCACTGGTTGTGGCTTGGGAGCAGGGGCTTCCTTCTCCACCCGCACTTCTGCATCGTCGGCTGGAAGTGCTGAAGCACGCAGTGGTTCCTCCTGTCTGGCCGGGACAGGATCAGCAGATATGGTCTTACCGCTCCTGGTAAAAATGGCATCCAGCTGCTGATGTGACACGCCAAAACACAACACCTAACAATGGCCAAGTGTAACCAATGAAAGGGACTGCAGTATAGTGGCTCAAGTGATAAATATCGAATCCACGGGTCTCTAGAGTTACTATTACTCAGCTTCAGTTTATTATTTAGCAAATCAGATTAAGATGAAAGAACTAAAACTACTCTAGCAAACTACAGTTAAAGTTAATCTAATTACAGGTTGGGAACTCACTTAGGTATGATTCCCCCTAGCCACTAGCCAGATTAACGATTGATGATCTCTAACCTGTTTCACTTTCATTCACAATGCGGAGAATCCTTGACTAGACCTTGAGTCTCGACTAAAGGAACAAGGCCCTCTTGAGTCAATTGCCTAGAGGGACGTATCCTTCTCTAGAACAACTGATCAAGGCGTTCTGAACTAGACTCCCTCTATCGAAAGGGGTTCTCAATCGATACAAAGCAGTGAATCAACCCTCGACTAAAGCAATCGATCCACTACTATCAATCTATGGTGCTCTATTGACCTAATCAGGTATTCCCTCTCATAGAATCAAAGCAGAATCAATAATCTCGACTAAAGCATAATTGAATCATGAAAACATGCATAGATTGAATATGAACTCAAGATTATCCAGTTAGAGTACTCATACAATCATCCAATCAAACAAACATAGCTAGGGTTCCTCAAAACCTAAGTGAAGGGAAGTTACTCCATAGAGAAGAGAGAGACTGCAGTAAGAATCTTCAGATGATCAGTCTTCAAGTCCGGGCTTGTTCCTCGAGCTTCCAAGGCGAAGAAATCCTCCTTCTCTACTCCAAGAATGCCCTCAAATCGCCCTCTCTCTCTAGGGTTCGTCCCTTGGGTGTTTGGGATCCAAAACCCAGCTCTCCTCTTCTTCGGCTCGGAATTTGGCTTAAAACCAGGAAATCCCGACTCGCACGGCCAGGGTGTACGGCCGTGCATATCACCATTCTGGCCGTGCAACTCAAAATGCAGCGTGTCATTTAGTCGAACTTCAGCCCTCTCGCACGGCCAGGGTGCACGACCGTGCGAGCTTCAGGGGTTGCCCGTGCGTGTCCTCGGCATAAGGCGCACGGCCATATTGCTCACGTGCACGGCCGTGCAGCCTCCCTGGTCTGCCCGTGCAGCTTCCCAAAAACCTCGCCATTCGTCCGTTCTTCGTCCAATCGACCCCAGACTCGCTCCTAAGCCTTCATTCACGTACTAGGACCTGAAACATCACAAACAAGCACAACCTAGCGTGAAATTGGCCTAAACCACGAGAAATCACATCTCAAACGGTGTAAGAACAGGGGTAAAAACATGTGTAATTAACGGTCTATCAAATTCCCCCACACTTAACCGTTTGCTTGTCCCCAAGCAATCCTAACTCAAACCAATGCAACTCTCCAGACCTCTATAGCAACAAACAACCCAGATCGTAGGTAGAGGACTTCCTAGATCATTTAGCAGCTTACGAGGTCAACCGACGCACAAGTCATCTCATAACTTCTTCGGCGAGTCGGCATCATGGCAAATAGTGAACAGAGGACAAATGGATTGTGGATGAAGAGATTCTCAAAAACAAAGGATCATGGACTCACATTTTTCAAGGTGCTCTATTTTCTTCTTGAAGATGGTTGAGACCCCTTTTTTTCCTGTTTTGCTTGTTTTCTGATATTTTTCTTTTCTTTTCTTTTTCAAGGGTCCCAACCTGCTCTTACCGGCCATGCCAGGAGCGGATGTCTCGAGCCTCGTGCGGGGGAAAGACATGTAAGGGGGCTGGAGGTAGTAGGTGGAAATTGGGAACGAATTCCCGTCTCCCCTTACACACTTTCGCCCTATTCGCACGGGAGACGTTTATTTTGAAGCACATTTTCGAGCACCTGTTATTTTCAAAACATGATACAAGAGTCCATGACAGGCAGAGAATCCACAACACCACACAATTCAAGGGTCCTAAGATCACTAATTCACTCAATCAACCAACTTTATATGAAGAAGAAATGAGACTTCTTAAATGCATCAACATCCTCCATAGTGCTACACGACCTCCCTAGGTTGCATATTACTATAAAGACTGTCAATTCAAAGCATACTGAGCAGGCAATTGCATGGAACACGTACTTGGAGCCCTCAAATCGAAATTTGGACAGTGGACTAGGCTCCAAGCACACAAACAGTCAAACATTCACACGCATACATAATCGAACATCCCCCCACACTTAAGCATGACATTGTCCTCAATGGAGGAAAGATAAGGAGGGTAGAACGAAGTTACCATATCAACGGTGAATGATGATGAACGGGTCAGGCGGTGCATTCCAGAAAGAGAGAGTAATCAGAACACAAACACCACACAAAATCTCACAAAGGTTGAGTTATTGACTCTAAAATCAAATAACAAAACTGACTCAACCGAGGAGAAATAGAGAAAGAGATGCAAACCGACTGGTTGGGTTGCCTCCCAACAAACGCTTCTTTCACGTCGTGAGCCGGACGATGGCTCCTAAGTTTCGGTCCATGCTAGAACCTCCTTGAAGTTGAGGTTCTCGTCGATGAGGTGGAGTCTCAAGTCATGAGCATGTGGTATGACAGGTGATGGAAGCTCGTGTACTTGATGCAGATGAAGTCTCCACCCTCGAGACCTCTCCTTCTCTTCTCTCGTCTCATTGCCCCAAACCAGATATGACAGCATTGATTGGCCACCATCGCGTCCACCAAGAGGGACCGATGTCGATGTGGCCTTGGTCTGGCAAAGAGACACTGCAAATGGGTCCTTCCTAAGCAGTTCCTCGAAGTTTGGTGGAGATATCACATGTAACTCATGGCCGGTGCAAGCCTCTTCCACCTCAACTTCGTCCTCAGCCTGGACACCAATTGCTTCTTCAACCTCCCTTCCTTCTTCATGTGGTATCACCCCTGGGAAATGATCAAGAACTCCTCCAGCTTCACTTTCGTCATCCTCCACAACTTCTTTCTGCACCCTTTCTTGCTCTTCTTCTTCTAGCACGGATTGGAGAGCCAGTTGCCAAGCAATTTCTTTCATGAGATCTTCTTGCATCTCCTCACTCATGCCCGCCTCTTCAAAGCTCAGTTTGGGGTGTGGGAAGGTGTGGTCGGCTACGACATGACACGCCTGATCATGATCATCATGGGAGCTCTCTGTGACAACTTCAGCGTGTTCCACAATGCCCTTGTAGCCTTCTTCTTCCTCCTCCTCTTCTTGTATGGTAGCAGAAGGGTGATCTGGAGCAGGTTGCGCCCAAGATCGCTCAAGATCATCGACGCTCTTCTTAAGGCTCAGGAGGATCTCATCTATTTCACGATAGGCCTGGACACACTGATCCATCCTGGAGCATGTTCTCTCACAGTCTCGAGCAAACTGCTCCATGAGTAACTCCAGCGCCGATGGCCCTTCTGGTTGTGGGAGAAATTCTTCTTGATAATGAGGTTGTTCTTGATATGCCCAGGGGTCCGGTTGTTCTCCGTAGTAAGGGGGTTGGTACTGGAACCCGAATCCATAGTCTTCTCCGCCTTGATTGCTCCACGGAGTCTCGGGGTAATACCACCCAGATGGTGGTGGATACCCCCAATGATTGGAGAAGCCATTAGGATCCATGATTCAGATCTGCACCAACAAAAAAAAACACCCAAGTGAAAAGCAAGGGTGGAAAAGAAAAGAAACGAAAAACGCTAAAGTAACAAACTTCTGCCTTTCCTAATACTCTAGAAAGTCCCTGGCAACGGCGCCAAAAACTTGACACGCCAAAACACAACACCTAACAATGGCCAAGTGTAACCAATGAAAGGGACTGCAGTATAGTGGCTCAAGTGATAAATATCGAATCCACGGGTCTCTAGAGTTACTATTACTCAGCTTCAGTTTATTATTTAGCAAATCAGATTAAGATGAAAGAACTAAAACTACTCTAGCAAACTACAGTTAAAGTTAATCTAATTACAGGTTGGGAACTCACTTAGGTATGATTCCCCCTAGCCACTAGCCAGATTAACGATTGATGATCTCTAACCTGTTTCACTTTCATTCACAATGCGGAGAATCCTTGACTAGACCTTGAGTCTCGACTAAAGGAACAAGGCCCTCTTGAGTCAATTGCCTAGAGGGACGTATCCTTCTCTAGAACAACTGATCAAGGCGTTCTGAACTAGACTCCCTCTATCGAAAGGGGTTCTCAATCGATACAAAGCAGTGAATCAACCCTCGACTAAAGCAATCGATCCACTACTATCAATCTATGGTGCTCTATTGACCTAATCAGGTATTCCCTCTCATAGAATCAAAGCAGAATCAATAATCTCGACTAAAGCATAATTGAATCATGAAAACATGCATAGATTGAATATGAACTCAAGATTATCCAGTCAGAGTACTCATACAATCATCCAATCAAACAAACATAGCTAGGGTTCCTCAAAACCTAAGTGAAGGGAAGTTACTCCATAGAGAAGAGAGAGACTGCAGTAAGAATCTTCAGATGATCAGTCTTCAAGTCCGGGCTTGTTCCTCGAGCTTCCAAGGCGAAGAAATCCTCCTTCTCTACTCCAAGAATGCCCTCAAATCGCCCTCTCTCTCTAGGGTTCGTCCCTTGGGTGTTTGGGATCCAAAACCCAGCTCTCCTCTTCTTTGGCTCGGAATTTGGCTTAAAACCCGGAAATCCCGACTCGCACGGCCAGGGTGCACGGCCGTGCATATCACCATTCTGGCCGTGCAACTCAAAACGCAGCGTGTCATTTAGTCGAACTTCAGCCCTCTCGCACGGCCAGGGTGCACGACCGTGCGAGCTTCAGGGGTTGCCCGTGCGTGTCCTCGGCATAAGGCGCACGGCCATATTGCTCACGTGCACGGCCGTGCAGCCTCCCTGGTCTGCCCGTGTAACTTCCCAAAAACCTCGCCATTCGTCCGTTCTTCGTCCAATCGACCCCAGACTCGCTCCTAAGCCTTCATTCACGTACTAGGACCTGAAACATCACAAACAAGCACAACCTAGCGTGAAATCGGCCTAAACCACGAGAAATCACATCTCAAACGGTGTAAGAACAGGGGTAAAAACATGTGTAATTAACGGTCTATCATGATGCTGGTGAGGATCTCGAGGATTAGGAACAGTGGTGGCAGGCAGAGTTCCCGGTGCCCTGGTGGTGCTCTGGCGGGCCAAGATGCCCACCTGGGTCTGCAGATCCTGCAAAATGGCACCCTGGTTCCTCTGACCTGCCTCTAGTGAGGCTACACTCTGGTCCAACCTCGTGATAGTCGCCTGAGTGCTCGTCATGAATGTAGCTAGAATGTTTTCTAGCTTCGTCATCCTGTCATCTGGGGCTGGAGCTGCTGCTGGCTCGGCAAACTGGCGCTGGGGCTGCTGGAATGGCTGCCCCTGCCTAGGCTGGTAGGGCTGCTGTGGGTCTGGCCCCTGGCGAGCCTGGAAGGGCTGCCTCTGCTGAAAACCACCTGCTGGTGCTGGGAAACCAGGTGGTTTAGTGGTGTTGCTGCTCCAGGCGAAGTTGGGATGCTGGCGCCACCCCTCATTATATGTGCTGCTGTATGGATCGAGGCGCCTCGCATTGGCGATGAAGGCCAACTGCTCCTGGGGTGTGGTAGACTCCCTCATAGCCTGGCAGTCCTCCACTAGGTGACTGGAGCTCTCACACCACTGACACTGAGCAACTGGAGGTGTAGCCAAACCTCTGCCCGGAATCAGACTGTTGGGCTGCTTCAATGTCTGCACTAGCTCAGCTACCTGCTGCTCGAGCCCGGATCTGGTCTCCATGGCGTGCACACCACGGTCTCGGGACTGTCTGCCTCGGCTACCCTGTCCCCAAGAATGATCTCTGGCAGCCAAAGTACTGATCATCTGGTTCAGCTCGGGTGGAGTCTTAGTGAGAATATCTCCTCCTGGGCATAGAGACTCAATCACCCTCTGGCTATCTGGAGAAAGGGCACTGTAGAAGTTCCCCACTGTGAATGCATCGCTGAAGCCATGATGGGGGCACTGCCAGAAATAGCCCATATACCGCTCCCAAGCGTCACGAAGTGACTCCTCTGGCTCCTGGCAGAAGTGAGTGATCTCCCGCTGAATCTCTGTAGTCTTCGATGCCGGATAATACCTGTGCACAAATTTGTCCGCCAGATCGTCCCAAGAGGTGATGGACAATGGGGGCTGGGTCTCCAACCACCTCTTAGCATTCCCCGCCAGAGAATGGGGGAAGAGATGAAGGCGGATCGCATCATCCGGGACACCATTCAGCTTGAACCCGTTTGTCAGCTGCAGAAAACGGGAAAGATGCACCCTGGCCTCCTCATTCTTCAAGCCATGGAACTGGATAGAAGATGTGATGAGCTGAATCCATCATGGCTTGATCTCAAAGTTGTTTGCTGGGATCGGCGGGTAGAGGATGACCGAGCGGATGTCAGCAATCCGCGGAGTGTAGTAGTACTCCAGGGTGGGACCCGGCTGCGGTGGATGATGAACTCCATGATCCTGGGGTATGGGGTTGTTCCCCAGGACCTGATTCACCGGGGGAACCTGCTGTGGATTCCCCTGGTGTTGGTTGTAGTCTCCGTCCATCCCGTGCTCTTCTTCAGAATCGCTGCTCAGGTGGCCGTCTATGCGCTCTTCCGTAGCCAGTCTAGCTCGCTGTTGTCTCCTGAGCTGGCGACTGGTGCGGTCAATCTCTGGATTCAACGGCAGTAAACCTCCCGACTGGCTACGGGTCATGCACTACCTGCACACACTCAAACAACAAACCCGTGAAGGCACAAGTGGGACAAAGAAAACAAAGCAAAAAGAAAAGCTAAATTAACAGAAATCACTTTTCTTCAACAACCTAGCCGTCCCCGGCAACGGCGCCAAAAACTTGACTCGACTCTACTGTCACTCCAGGAATTGGCCAAGTGAAACCACTTCCTAAAGCGTAGTATAGCGGGTTTGGGTTTAATTATCAACCCGGGTCCTAGATGTGATGACTACTCAGTGAATTCTTGTTATCTAGCAATGAAACTGGAGTGCAAGTCTAAACTACCAAACAAACAAAGCAAGTAAACTGGTTGTATTCAGGTTAAAGAGGTCACCCGGATATGGTTCCCCCTAGACTGCAGTTAAGCCGGATTGCAATTACCAAGTTCAGTTTCTATGACAGTTATACTGCGGAAGGTTCTTAAACAGCCTGAAGTCTCGACTAAAGGTCTTCAGACCCTCTCAATCTGACTCTCTAGCGGGCGACTAACCTCCACCGGAGTCGACAGATTGAGGCCCTAAGAACAAAACCTCCACTACCGGAGTAAAACCGGTACAGAATAGTGAGTTGGCTCCTCGACTAAAGTCACCAACTCCCTACCTTCAATCAAGGATACTCTATTAATCAAGGCAGATATTCTCATTCTAGGTTAAAGTAGAAACAACAGGAATTTGATCAGGATTCAAGTCATTCAATCATTAAAACCTCAATCGAATATAATCAATCACAGAATCAGTACTTGGGTTCATACAATCAAAGCCTAACATACAAATCTAGGGTTCTCCATACCCAGATGAATGGGAGAACTACTCCATGGAGAAGAAAGCAAAAGCAGAATCAGACACGGAATTCATACTGCGAAGGATGGATTCCTGCTTCTGGACGTTGATTGGCACTTCTCCAAGCTCAAACTGGCCTCCAATGGTGTTGAAGATCAATCTAGGGCACTTGGGAACTCTTGCTCGTCACTTTCTCTCTCTAGGAACTGATCTCTCTCTCAAAAACTCGAATCCCCCTCTGAATTGTGGCTGAAATTCTGCTTAAAAGGAGAAAATCCCGACTCACACGGCCAAGGTGGCACGGCCGTGCAGCTCACCCAGTTGCCCGTGTGAGTCAAAACGCATCGTTTCATTTAGTTCGAATTCCAGGCTCTTTGCACGGCCAGAATGGCACGGCCGTGTGGACATCCCCTCTTGCCCGTGTTTGCTCTCGCAGAATGTGGCACGGCCAACCCGGCCACTTGCACGGCCGTGTCGATCCTCTGCTCTGCCCGTGTCTGCTCTCGGCGAAACTCGCACGGCCAGGCCATTCCTTCACACGGCCGTGTGAACATCAGGGCAGCCCGTGTGACCTCCTTTGCGACTTGCCTCGCGCCCGAACTTCGCCCAATCGATCCCGAACTCGCTCCTAAACCTTCATTCACTTGCCAAGACCTGAAATATCACAAACAAGCACAACCTAGCGTGAAATCGGTCTAAAACACGAGAAACCACCTCTCAAACGGTGTAAGAACAGGGGTGAAAACATGTGTAACTAACGGTCTATCACCGACCCTCTATTAACCACCTGGATGCATCGCCGCCGACTCGGAGGATGAAGTTTGGGGTGTGGGTATGGGATGAGTGGGTGGGAGGAAAATCTGGTATGAGGAGGAAAGGGGTTTTGTTAGTCGTTGCGGGATCGATCGGAAAAGGGGCGCTCGTCGTCGGCGAACACCGCCGCCGTTCTAGAGAAGGACCACGCTGTTCGTTGTCTTCGTCGGGGGAGTAGGGTTCGAAGGGGAAGAAGCTGTCAAGTGTGGAGGAAAGGAAAAATGAAAAGGAAGAGAGAGGGAGATGCTGATCTGTTCTACTTATCCTCTTTTTGTTTTTAAATCCACGTGGAAAATACTTACCGGACGAAAATCGCCACATCGGATTATCCGTTAATCCAGTTAGCACCGTAAGTCACGCCATCAAAGAATTGGACGGAAATGGCTATATTTGATATTTCGTCAAAAGTGGCTATATTTGACAAAATCGTCAAAGTTTTGGCTATACAAGTGTATTTTTCCTAAGAAAAAATTGCTTTCGTAGTTTGGTTTGTGAATAACTTGTCCATCTCTCAAACCTACGGAATGCCTTCCAACCCAAGTGAAGTGATTGTCCATATCATTCTTTAATTATGTAACATATATACAATACCTTGTATGACTAATACTAGCTACTTCCTGTATATATCAACAGACGGCTGAACTACTTATATAAGTACTTCCTGTATATATCAACAGATAGCTGAACTACTTATATAATTAATTGCTTATATATGTTTAAATTTTTTTCATCACCAAATTAAATTCTCATCGCAAAAAAAAAAAATATAAGAATACATTTGCACACGTAAAGCACTATCATCACAATCACATTAAACAACTAAATTAAATCAGTAGCATTCAATTTGTACAAACATATATATGTGTGGAAGAGAAGAAGTAGTAGTACAACGTAAGTTACAACAAACAAGCACAGTTTAGAGTGTTGTTTGAATCTACAAAAACAACAACAAAAAGTAAATGCGAGAAAAGATCAATGTATTACATAAGGTTAAGAAGAAGGTATACCCGAGCACTTCTACTATGCTATATAGTATTGGTGCTTTAATATACAACTTGAAATTGTACCATAACATTAAATGTATAAGTTTAGGTTGTACCATAAAGCAATTTGTATCATTATGTTATGGTACAACTTTACAACTTGAAGTTGTACCATCACATAAGGTACAAGTTTAAGTTGTACCATAAAAGAATTTGTACAAAAAGTATAGGTACAATCTTAAGTTGTACCATATCATTAAAGGTACAATTTCAAGTTGTACCATAAAGGTAAAAACCTATAGCACCAATGCTATATAGCATTGTAAAATTCCTCAGGTATACCCGCACCAAGAAAATCGATAAACCTAGGAGCATTGTCGCTGCCGTCATCTTCTTCTGCTTGCTCTGTCGTCATCACCTGATTAGGAAATCCATCCCTACTACTCGAGGATAATAATAATAATTCTCGATGATCAACAACATCCCCAATTCCCTTCTTCCTCATTTTGTTGCCACCACCATTAGTATCATCTTTCTCTTCATTACCATCATCCCTAACCTTCAAATGCCCAAAGGCCGGGCTGGGAATTACCACTCTGCAGGCCTGGTTATTATACGACCCGACCCAACTCCACAAGCTCCCACGGGCAATAGTGTTACTAGGACTATTGGTACTAACACTACTATACCCATAAATAAATAGCCTCCCCAGTTTTGGATCCTGAACGTAACTAGAGTAAAATCTAGACGAATTAGTCGTAGGAGAGCAATAACTGGAGTAGTAGTCTCTCATCAATGGCTTATTATCGGAGAAGCTCGTTGATGTCGACGATGAGTTATTGATAGTGGATGGAGAGAGTGAGAATATCACTCTATCCATCAAGTTATTGGAGTTAACGTTAACGTTGTGGTTGGAGCTGCTGATCATCGACCATGGCGTCCTTGCTTGCTGATAGTGGTGGAGTTTAGAGTGTTGTTCCCTTTGCCTGCGGGTCGTGAGGACGTGGCAGTGGTTCTTGACGGCGTTATCGGTGCGGCCGGGGAAGAGGCGGGCGATGAGGGACCACTTGTTGCCGTGGATGCGGTGGGCGGTCAGCAGCCGCTCCTCTTCTGCCTCGGTGAAGGGTCTTGTGTTGATTTTAGGGTCAAGTTGGTTGAACCACCTCAATCGGCAGCTCTTCCCTGCAACAAATTAAATCAAACCCCATAAATCTATCTGGCTATTTTCCACAAAGCAAGCTACCTGTGGTGCCTTAACGTCTCTCTCAAGTCTCGATGGACAACTCCGATTTATCGGGACCAACTAATTCTTCGTATTTTTATCTATACTTTTTCAAAAAATCAAGAGCAATACCCAACTATCATTTTAGACAAACTAGCTAATCGCCAAATCGAAACTCGGATCATACTTTAGTACTATTCAGTCACTTCTTCCTTCGTTGGCTTAGTTAGTTATTAAGATTTCTAAGAACCCTAGCTAGAGCTAGGAAGGAAGGAAGCCATGGTGGAGAGGAGTCAATAGGAATAGGATACCTGATCTGCCTTGGAGCTTGTCGGCGATGGAATTCCAGTTCTGGGCACCAAACTGCTCGACCAGCTGCCTCAGTTTCTCATCTTCAGCAGGTCTCCAATGGCCTCTCGGGCAAGAGTTAGTGAGTGGCCTTATTCCTGCCGAAGCCGGTAATTCATCGCAAGAGTTGGCTGCCGCAGATACTTCTTCCATTTATATATGATGATCGACCGATCAATTATCAGTTTAGAATAACTACTGTATTGGCCGGCGCGGCGACAGCTGCTGCTTGGTGGTGGTGGATCATCCGATTATCTGTTTATAATGGCGGCAGCTGGGAGAGGAAAAGTAGCCTACACTAGAGGAAGGGAGGGAGGGAGAACAAGAAGATAATATATAGTTGAGATAGAATGATGATAACAAATTCCCAATAATAATTAATTAATTACTTATATATTGTGGAAGTGGAGAGGGTGAGGGTAGGGCAACGTTTTGTTTTTCTCGTATATATTTTAGTTTATTAATTGTTTGTTTGGCTAACGTGGTTGGTTTATTATTGTTAGCTTAACTGAGCTTTAGCTTAGGTTAGCTAGGGTTGTGTGTGGATGAATGGATGGCAAGTCACTTTTGTTGGTTTTACACGACACTTTTAGTTAGCAACCTTGGGTCACCTTACTTATCTATTCCATAACTAATGCTTAACAATTATAATAATATTTCATTCTTATGTAAATATATTGTATGACCTACAACCAAACTTTTATTGCATATTAATTAATTATGATTTTTTTAATATATCGATGGTAAAAATGAGGTGAACTATTTCCGAACTCTCTACCATCATATATGAATTATTTCATATGCAATGCATGAATAGTCTCTAAATAACGGATAGAAATTATACGTATATAAATAGCATTTTTTTATGGACTCGTTGGTTGGTTGAAACAAGATACATTATGCAATCATAATTGAAGTACATATTGAATGCATGAATTATCTCAAAATTTATGGAAGAGATATGTAACGATGATTTTTTTAATTGGACTTGTCGAGTAAAACTAAGTACGTTTCAAATGAGTCTTAGCAAGAAAAGCTGCTAGTTTTGCACCGCAGGCCTATTGAGATGAAACCAATGATCACCTCCATGCGACTTTTTGGCTAAAGAGTCTCCTTTTACTTTTTTGTTGAATTGAAACATCTATCTATAAGACAATATTAAGCTAGCCAAAGGTTGAAATTTATGATGTGATGAACGTTTGTGACCATTATGCTTTCGAAATTCGTCAATTTAAAATAAGTTAGTTCATGTCGTTTAAATGGCAAAATAAAAATGACCCAAGTAATTCATAGCCCTACTGCATTAGTATGTTTAAAATAAAATAAAATAAGTTGTTGCTCTCAGTAAATTATATATATCTAACTTGTTTGGTTTCCATTTTCTTTTTTACTTAGTAGTCGGTCCTCCTGATGATGAGACAAGACAACCATGGTACTACGTTAAAATCAAAAAACAAACCCATCACCTCCCAGCTATAGCTAGCTAGCCACCTATACGTACATTTTTTTTTACAAAGGACACTGAAATTCCATTAAATGTAGCAAAAGCCAAACATTACAAAAGGGGAGCAACCACGTCAAGAATCTGTAACCATTGCGATGGCAATTGGTTTTTAGCACATGATTTAGCTACCCGATTAGCTTTAGAATTATTCCTTCTACCGATGTGCTTGATCTTGATCAGCGGATTGTCGTCCAGCGTTTGTTTGATGATACACAGCCAAGCTGCCGCTCGCCATGGCCATCATTTTGGGTGGCTATGAATTGCACGAACCAGGGGTAAGCAGTCAGATCGCACCAGGCAGGGAGATCTGAGGGAGGCAGCTAACCGGCAGCCCTCCAGCAGGGCCTTTGCTTCTGCTTCAAGTGGGGAAAAACAGTGCAGATTCTCAGCTTTACCATCACACACTTGACCATGGTTGTTCGAAACAACGACGCCATATGCCGCCTCCTGGGAATCGTCGAAAAACGATCCATCGCACTGTACTTCAAATTCATGAGTACCTGGCGGTGGTGAAGAGTGCTCTTGGGGTGAGATGAGCTGAGATGATGGAGGAACTATGGTAAGTTTCCTGGGGCACGTGGTCCATTGATGATGCGCCAAAGCTGCCTTCGAGATTGTGGAGGGGGCCATGGGGCAGTATTTTTAAAAATCTTCTCGTTCCTCGCTTTCCATGTCTGTCATACGAGAAAAATGATCTTCTAAATCGAGCTGATCGAGAAGCTGTGTCGAAGGGAATCCAACCACTCCAGGAAGGGAGTGAGAGAAGCAGGGGGCACCGATGGCCATTCCTGATTCCATCCTTCCGCCGCGTGTGAGCAGGTGTATAAGCAGTGGTGAATCCATTCAGAAGGGAAAGCATAGATCGGGCACACCTTCGTAGCAGAGCAGTTCCTCGCATAGCAGTGGTGAATAAGCCTATATGTACATGTTTGCAAAGCAATAATATTACTTGGACAATAGATATATCTCTCTCTGTCTCTCTCTCTCTATTATCTCTCGCTATAATTTTGGTTAGAAACAGTTAACAATGACAGCTCTCCCCGCTGCAAAGACTACTTTCCTAATTATTCCTTTGATTAGTGACTCGTTACGACACAACTCCTAACAAAGGCCAAGTGTAACCAATGAAAGGGACTGCAGTATAGTGACTCAAGTAATAAATATCGAATCCACGGGTCTCTAGAGTTACCATTACTCAGCTTCAGTTCATTATCTAGCAAACGAGATTAAGTTGAAAGAACTAAAACTACTCTAGCAAACTACAGTTAAAGTTAATCTAATTACAGGTTGGGAACTCACTTAGGTATGATTCCCCCTAGCCACTAGCCGGATTAACGATTGATAATCTCTAACTTGTTTCACTTTCATTGACAATGCGGAGAATCATTGACTAGACCTTGAGTCTCGACTAAAGGAACAAGGCCCTCTTGAGTCAATTGCCTAGAGGGACGTATCCTTCTCTAGAACAACCGATCAAGGCGTTCTGAACTAGACTCCCTCTATCGAAAGAGGTTCTCAATCGATACAAAGCAGTGAATCAACCCTCGACTAAAGCAATCGATCCAATACTATCAATCTATGGTGCTCTAATGACCTAATCAGGTATTCGCTCTCATAGGATCAAATCAGAATCAATAATTTCGACTAAAGCAGAATTGAATCATGAAAACATGCATAGATTGAATATGAACTCAAGATTATCAAGTCAGAGTACTCATACAATTATCCAATCAAACAAACATAGCTAGGGTTCCTCAAAACCTAAGTGAAGGGAAGTTACTCCATAAAGAAGAGAGAGACGGCAGTAAGAATCTTCAGATGATCAATCTTCAAGTCCGGGCTTGTTCCTCGAGCTTCCAAGGCGAAGAAATCCTCCAATTCCACTCTTAGAATGCCCTCAAATCGCCCTCACTTTCTTTGGTTCGTCCTTTGGGTGTTTGGGATACAAAACCCAACTCTCTCCTGCAAAAACGCACAAAACAGGCTTTTAACAGCCTGCGTTCGCGATCCCTGGTCAAAATTCCCTGTCGGGTATTTTAGGTCACGACCGGGGATTTTTGGTTCACGACCGGGGATTTTTTGTTCACGACCGGGGATTTTGGTTCACGATAGGGGATTTTTGGTTCACGATAGAGCCCCCTTCTGTTTCTCAGAGAAGCCCGAAACCAATTTTCCCCTATCTTTGATTCTTCGTTTCTCCCTCGTTCAGACTCCAAATCAGGTGTCGTTTGATCCCAGACGCTCGTAGTCTCATCCTCTTTCTTCTCATGACAAGATTACATGATTATATGGTCACAAACTGAGGTAGAAATCCATCTTCTTCAAGTCATACCCGAGTGTCTTCCCCCGAGTCGCCAATTGATCTCCGATTGACTTGAAACTTGCGCCTACACTTCACTTTATGTGCTAGGACCTGAAATGTGACAAAGGAACACAACCTAGCGTAAAAGAGATAATGCAAGCTTAAACGATCAAGAAACAAAGGGGAAAACATGTGCAAATATCGAGTCATCAAATCCCCCCACACTTAACCGTTTGCTTGTCCCCAAGCAAACCTAACTCAAACCAATGCAACTCTCCAGAACTCTATAGCAACACACACCCTCGATCGTTGATAGAGGATTTTCTAGATCATTTAGCAGCTTACGAGGTCAACCGACACACAACTCATCTCATGGCTTCTTCGGCGAGAATGCTAGTCTCGAGTCGACATCATGGTAAATATTGATCAGAGGACAGATGAATCGTGGACGAAGAGACTCTCAAAAACAAATGATCATGGGCTCACATTTTTCAAGGTGCTGTTATTTTCTTTTTGAAGACGGTTGGAACCCCTTTTTTTCCTTTTCTTTTGTTCTCTTTTTTTTCTTTTTTTTTCCAAGGGTTCCAACCCGATTTTCAGAAAACGGGGCTCCCACCTAGCAAAGGTTTTGTGGGGACCCGGCTCTTACAGGCCATGCCGGGAGCAAATGTCTCGAGCCTCGTGCGGGGGAAAGATATGTAAGGGGGATGGAGGTAGTAGGTGGAAATTGGGAACGGATTCCCGTCTCCCCTTACACACTTTCGCCCTATCCGCACAGGAGACGTTATTGTAAAGCACATTTTCGAGCACCATTTATTTCAAAACATGATACAGGAGTCCATGACAGGTAGAGAGTCCACAACACCACACTATTCAAGGGTCCGAAGATCACTAATTCACACAATCAACCAACACAATATGAAGAAGAAACGAGACTTCTTAAATGCATCAACATCCTCCATAGTGCTACACTACCTCCCTAGGTTGCACATTACTATAGAGACTGTCAATTCAAAGCATATTGAGCAGGCAATTTGCATGGAAACACGTACTTGGAGCCCTCAAATTTAAAAATTTGGACAGTGGACTAGGCTCCAAGCACACAAACAGCCAAACATTCACCCGCATACATAATCGAACATCCCCCCACACTTAAGCACGACATTGTCCTCAATGGAGGAAAGATAAGGGGGTAGAACAAAGTTACCAGATCAAGGGTGAATGACGGTGGACGAGGCAGGCGGTGCATTCAAGGAGGAGAGAGTAGTCGAAACACAAACACCACACAAAATCTCACAAAGGTTGAGTTATTGACTCTAAAATCAAAGAACAAAACTGACTCAACCGAAGAGAAATAGGTAAAGAAATGCAAACCGACTGGTTGGGTTGCCTCCCAACAAGCGCTTCTTTCACGTCGTGAGCCGGACGATGGCTCCTAAGTTTCGGTCCATGCTAGAACCTCCTTGAAGTTGAGGTTCTCGTCGATGAGGTGGAGTCTCAAGTCATGAGCATGTGGTGTGGCAGGTGATGAAGGCTCATGTACTTGATGCAGATGAAGTCTCCACCCTCGAGACCTCTTCTTCTCTTCTCTCGTCTCATTGCCCCAAACCAGATAAGACAACATCGATTGGCCACCATTGCGTCCACCAAGAGGGACCGATGTCGATGTGGCCTTGGTCTGGCAAAGAGACACTGCAAATGGGTCCTTGCTAAGCAGTTCCTCGAAGTTTGGTGGGAATATCACATGTAACTCATGGCCGGTGCAGGCCTCTTCCACCTCAACTTCATCCTCAGCCTGGACGCCAATTGCTTCTTCAACCTCCCTTCCTTCTTCATGTGGTATCACCCCTGGGAAATGATCAAGAACTCCTCCAGCTTCACTTTCGTCATCCTCCACAACTTCTTTCTGCACCCTTTCTTGCTCTTCTTCTTCTAGCACGGATTGGAGAGCAAGTTGCCAAGCAATTTCTTTCATGAGATCTTCTTGCATCTCCTCACTCATGCCCGCCTCTTCAAAGCTCAGTTTTGGGTGTGGGAAGGTGTGGTCGGCTACGACATGACACTCCTGATCATGATCATCACGGGAGCTCTCCGTGACAACTTCAGTGTGCTCCACAATGTCCTTGTAGCCTTCTTCTTCCTCCTCCTTTTCTTGTATGGTAGCAGAAGGGTGATCTGGAGCAGGTTGTGCCCAAGATCGCTCAAGATCATCGACGCTCTTCTTAAGGCTCAGGAGGATCTCCTCTGTTTCACGATAGGCCTGGACACAATGATCCATCCTGGAGCATGTTCTATCACAGTCTCGAGCAAACTGCTCCATGAGAAGTCTCAATTCATAGTGTGGATCTGGCTGTGGAGTATAGCATGGCTCTGCAGAATGGCCCGTGAAGGCCGCCATTGGTAACTCCAGCTCCAATGGCCCTTCTGGTTGTGGGAGAAATTCTTCTTGGTAATGAGGTTGTTCTTGATATGCCCAGGGGTCCGGTTGTTCTCCGTAGTAAGGGGGTTGGTACTGGAACCCGAATCCATAGTCTTCTCCTCCTTGATTGCTCTAGGGAGTCTCGGGGTAATACCACCCAGATGGTGGTGGATACCCCCAATGATTGGAGAAGCCATTAGGATCCATGATTCAGATCTGCACCAACAAAAACAAAAACACCCAAGTGAAAAGCAAGGGTGGAAAAGAAAAGAAACGAAAAACGCTAAAGTAACAAACTTCTGCCTTTCCAGAAAGTCCCCGGCAACGGCGCCAAAAACTTGATGCTTTAAAACACAACACCTAACAAAGGCCAAGTGTAACCAATGAAAGGGACTGCAGTATAGTGGCTCAAGTGATAAATATCGAATCCACGGGTCTCTAGAGTTACTATTACTCAGCTTCAGTTTATTATTTAGCAAATCAGATTAAGATGAAAGAACTAAAACTACTCTAGCAAACTACAGTTAAAGTTAATCTAATTACAGGTTGGGAACTCACTTAGGTATGATTCCCCCTAGCCACTAGCCAGATTAATGATTGATGATCTCTAACATGTTTCACTTTCATTCACAATGCGGAGAATCCTTGACTAGACCTTGAGTCTCGACTAAAGGAACAAGGCCCTCTTGAGTCAATTGCCTAGAGGGACGTATCCTTCTCTAGAACAACTTATCAAGGCGTTCTGAACTAGACTCCCTCTATCGAAAGAGGTTCTCAATCGATACAAAGCAGTGAATCAACCCTCGACTAAAGCAATCGATCCACTACTATCAATCTATGGTGCTCTATTGACCTAATCAGGTATTCCCTCTCATAGAATCAAAGCAGAATCAATAATCTCGACTAAAGCAGAATTGAATCATGAAAACATGCATAGATTGAATATGAACTCAAGATTATCCAGTCAGAGTACTCATACAATCATCCAATCAAACAAACATAGCTAGGGTTCCTCAAAACCTAAGTGAAGGGAAGTTACTCCATAGAGAAGAGAGAGACTGCAGTAAGAATCTTCAGATGATCAGTCCTCAAGTCCGTGCTTGTTCCTCAAGCTTCCAAGGCGAAGAAATCCTCCTTCTCTACTCCAAGAATGCCCTCAAATCGCCCTCTCTCTCTTTGGTTCGTCCCTTGGGTGTTTGGGATCCAAAACCCAGCTCTCCCCCTCTTTGGTTCGGAATTTGGCTTAAAACCAGGAAATCCCGACTCACACGGGCAGGGTGGCACGGCCGTGTGGCTTACCCAGTTGCCCGTGTGAGTCAAAACGCTGCGTTCCAATTAGTTCGAATTCCAGGCTCTTTGCACGGCCAGAGTGGCACGGCCGTGTGAACTTCCTTTTTGCCCGTGTTTGCTCACGCAGAATTCCACACGGCCAGACTGGCCTCTTGCACGGCCGTGTGGATGTCCTGCTCTGCCCGTGTTTGCTCTCGGCGAAACTCGCACGGCTAGACTACTCCTTCACACGGCCGTGTGATCATCAGGGCAGCCCGTGTGACCTCCTCTGTGACTTGTCTCGCACCCGATCTTCACCCAATCGACCCCGAACTCGCTCCTAAACCTTCATTCACTTGCCAGGACCTGAAATATCAGAAAAAAGCACAACCTAGCGTGAAATCGGTCTAAAACACGAGAAACCACATCTCAAACGGTGTAAGAACAGGGGTAAAAACATGTGTAACTAACGGTCTATCAGACTCCTAAAGCTGATCAGCTGGCTATCAATTTGATCGGAAAGAATTTTGTGTTATGGGAATTTCACTTCCGCAACTTTGTTGAAGGCCGCCGACTGATTGAGATTTTGACGGGTGATGCTCCTCGCCCTCTGGCGACTGCTGATGCTAAAGAGCGTGCCGATTGGACGGCGGGCAATGCCCAAATTATTACCTGGCTATTGGCGACGGTTGATCCTCTCCCGGCCCTTACTCTTCGTCGGTTTTCCACTGCTGCCGAGATGTGGAATCATCTTTGTGTCATTCACTCTCAGAAGGACGCATCCCGCCAGTATCAACTTGAAACTGAATTGGCTAATCTTTCTCAAGGTGACAGGGATATTCGGACATACTATCATACCTGTATTAATCTTTGGACAGCATGATCTTCTTACCGCCTCGTTGCTCACTGGTGCGGCTTCTGCTGAGTTGGTCGCTGAACGCACGCACTCTCGCTTGCTGCAGTTTCTAATGCGTCTTCGTCCGGAGTTCGAGTCTCTTCGCGCTTCCCTCCTCCACTGCAATGTGACCAGTATCGATGTTGCTGTGGCTGAACTTGTCCGTGAAGAGACTCGGCTCAAATGTCAATCTCAGCTGGATTCCGCTTCCTCTTCCTCGGATGCGGCGTTTGCTGTTGGACGTGGTGGCTCCTCCGGTCGTGGTGGTTCCTCCGGCCGTCCTCAATTCCAGCGAGCAGACTACAGTACTTTGACCTGCCACTTTTGTAATGAGGTTGGTCATATTCAACGTCATTACAAGAAGCATAATATTTGTTCCTATTGCAAGAAATCGGGGCATGTACTCTTCGGTTGTCCGACTCTTGCTCGTCGGGGACAGTCTGCTCGTCGTCCTTCTTCTGGGCGTGATGGTGCTGGTTTTGCTGTCGAGGCTGCAGGGTCTCCTTCCTCTCCGGCTGCCTCCTCTTCGTCCACTGGTCAATCATCTTCTGGTTTCACTTCAGCCGATATTCGCCGATTGGTGCAGGAGGCTTTACAGGAAGCTCTTCCTCTTGCCTTGACTTCCGCCTTTGCTACTGGGGCTGCGCCAGGTAATGCTTCTCGCTGGTTACTCGACTCTGCTGCCTTTAATCATATGTCACCCTCTCGCCAACATTTTGGTTCGTTACATTCTACTCCTGATCTTCATCTTCAAGTTGCTAATGGGGATCGTCTACCGGTTCTGGTTTCTGGAACAGTTTCTACTGGTGCTATAACTTTACCTGATACATTATATGTTCCTCGGCTGGTTCCCAATTTAGTCTCTGTGGGGCAATTGACTGATGATGGGTGTGATGTCTCCTTTAATACCGATGGGTGTGTTGTGCAGGACCAGAAAACCGGGAGGGTGATCGGGAAAGGACATAAGCAGAGTCGTGTGTTTGTTTTGGATGCCTACGAGAAGAACTTCCCGGCCGCGTCTGCCGAGCTGTCCAGTAGTAGTGCTAGGCTGTTTTCTTCTTGTAGTGACACTAGTTGTTATGATGTTTCGGTTAGACCTTTGGATTTTTCGGTTCAGACTTCTCGGTGGGATTTATGGCATTGTCGGTTGGGCCATCCGCATTATGCTCGGTTAGTCTATATGTTTCGGAATAATATTTTACCAGACAAAGTTTCTCATCCTCCAGATTCTTCTTCTTCTTGTGTGAGCTGCATTGAGGCTAAAGCTCATCAATCTACTTTTGGGCCGAGTGATACTACTTATGATGAACCTTTTTCTTTGGTTCATACTGATCTTTGGGGCCCATCGCCGGTCACGTCTCGTCTGGATTATCGATATTTCGCATTATTTATTGATCACACTACCCGATATACGTGGGTCTACTTCTTGCGTCAGAAATCGGAATTGATCACTTTTGCTCAAGAGTTCATTCGTATGGTGCAAACCCAGTTTAACAAAACGGTCAAGGTTATTCGCTCGGACACTGGTGGTCAGTTTAATTCTAAAACATTATTGGAATTTTACAAAACTCAGGGCATTCTTTCTCAGCTTTCATGTCCTGGGGTTTCCCAACAAAATGGGGTAGTCGAAAGGAAGAATCGACACGTGTTGGAGCTGACCCGTGCACTACTATTTCATGCCCTGGTACCGAGTCTCTTTTGGGCCGAGGCAGTCCACACGGTGGTGCACCTAATTAATCGTCAACCAACCACAGTTTTGGAGCACAAGTCCCCGTATGAATGCTTGTACCAAAAGCGACCGGATTATTCCACTTTGCGTGTGTTTGGATGTGTTTGTTTTGTTCTTTTACAGAAAAAAGAGCGACATAAGCTTCAACCAAAGACGGCGAAGTGTGTCTTTCTTGGGTACAGTGATCGTCATAAAGGGTATTTGTACTATGACCCAGTTGCACGTCGTATGCGGGTTTCATGTAATGTGATGTTTCTTGAGCAGGTGAACTACTACAGTACTAATAAAGAAGAAGCGTCTCGTGCATTAGACTTCCTCACCACCTTGCCAATTTTTGATCCTGTTGCCGATCCTCCACCTCTTCCAAATCAGGGAGGGAATGATGGTAATTTGGAAAACTCACCTCGTTCGACTCCGCCTATTATGTCACCAGCCACGTCTAATTCGGCGACTATTGGCAGCTCCAGCTCATCATCATCATCTTCTCCTTGGTTGTCTCCTAATGGGGACTCTTCCTCATTAAATGGTATGCATTCTTCTTCAGGTCCCACCTCTTCTTCTGCCACTACTTCCGCCGAAAATTCTGCTTCCCTTGATGTTCCACAGCAGCCCGAGCAACAAGAGCTGCCTGCACTTCGAAAGTCAAACCGCTCCAATATTGGTCAAGTCCCGATTCGCTTTCATGATTATGTAGGTTTCTCTTCTGAACCTATTACTATTCCCTCTACTTATGATGAAGCGAAGAAGGACCCAAAGTGGAATGCCGCAATGAATGATGAAATGCATGCCTTAGACGAGAATCAGACGTGGGATGTTGTTATACGTACTCCAGATATGTCTGTTATTGGGTGTCGATGGGTGTATACTATCAAGATGCATCCAGATGGCACCATTGAACGTCATAAAGCTAGACTGGTAGCTCAAGGTTTTCGTCAAGAGTATGGCATTGATTATGAGGAGACGTTTGCACCTGTTGTTAAAATGCAGACAGTACGTATTGTTTTTGCTGTGGCTTCAATGCAAGAGTGGCCCCTCATTCAACTAGATGTAAAGAATTCCTTCTTACATGGAGACTTGAAGGAAGACATCTACATGGAATGCCCACCTGGGTATGCCGCAGGAGGGAAAGGAATGGTCTGCAAACTCCGACGTTCTCTATATGGTCTCAAGCAAGCTCCCAGAGCTTGGTTTGAGAAATTTCATGGTACCATAATTCAAGCAGGTTTCATACAGAGTAGTAATGATCCTTATCTTTTTACGCGGCGTACAGTTAATGGCATTGTCATTCCTCTATTATATGTGGATGACATGGTGATTACGGGAAGTGACAGTGAAGGTATTCAGGAACTTACGCAAGTGTTGAAAACTGCCTTTAACTAAAGGAGCTTGGAGAGGCTTCCTATTTCCTGGGTCTTGAAATTCAACGTTCTTCTTCAGGATTGTTTGTTTGCCAGAAGAAGTATATATCTGATCTTTTAAAGACTACCCAGTTTGACCAGAGTAGGCCGTGCGCCACTCCCATGGAGCAAAATTTGAAGTTGCAACGTGATGAAGGAGATCTTTTAGAGGATCAAACTCAGTACAGAAGTGTGGTGGGTAGCCTCATTTACCTCACTCACACTCGGCCAGATATCTCTTATACGGTACAGATTTTGAGCCAGTTTATGGGGGCGGCTCGAGTACCACATCTTGATGTTGTGCATCGACTCTTGCGATACTTACACTATACGCAGGATGTGGGTTTATTTTTTCCGGTCAAAGGTAGTTTTACAGTTGAAGCCTTTGCTGATGCCGACTATGCAGGTTGTCGTGATACTCGGAAATCGACTTCAAGATGGTGCACCAGGGTTGGACAGTCTTTTGTTTCTTGGCGGTGTAGAAAACAGGATAAGGTATCCAAGTCATCTACGGAAGCCGAGTACAGGTCAATGTCCGAAGCTGGTTCTGAGCTGGTCTGGATACAGTGTGTTCTTTCAGAGATAGGCGTTAATTGTTGCATGCCTATGAGATTATATGGGGATAATACAAGTGCCATACAGATTGCTATCAATCCAGTTCTGCATGAGCGTACTAAGCATATTGAAGTCCATATTCATTACATCCGACAGTTAGTTGCAGAAGGGTTGATTCGTCTAAGCTACTTGACTACAGAAGATCAGACAGCAGATTTACTTACTAAGGCTGTAGCATCTAGTAGGCACTGGTATCTCTCTTCCAAATTGATGTTGCGCACCCAACATCAATTTGAGGGAGGGTGTTGATTTAGGAGACCATCTTGTACTAGGAATCCTCTCTAGCCTAGTCGTACTCTACATGGATACGGTTTACGTAAGGTTAAAGTCCTATATATATTGTAATAAGCTGTACACCAGAACTTAAGAAAGCTCATAATATTAAAACCTGAGAGGGAGATCCTCTCCGTGGACTAGTGTCTAATTGACGATACCACGTTAAAAAACTCCTTGCCTCCTTTATTTTTCTGCTATTCGTTTTGTTAAATTGACAGTCTCTTGTCTTCTTAAAACCTATTAAGAATCAATCATAAACAAATGATGCCATTTTTTTTCTTCATTTCTAACCTCTCTCGCTCTAAATTAAATCATACCTTTTTCGTCGATGCCTAATTTCTAATCCGTCTCTCTATCCATTCCAATTCCATTGCTCCGTTCTCCCATTTTCTTTTCTACGTTATTGATTAACAGGTCTACTACACTGGAACTAGATAATTTTTTTTAGCTTATTATTAATTAATATATATAAAGTGAAAGTGAAGTTACTGTTGCCGAATATTTTGCTATGATGCTCCTTAATATTTTACTTATACTCATTTTGCTACCATGTGTCGGTTGTTTTTTACTTTTTTCTCTTTTAATGTTGATGTTTATTCATTTATCACTTTTCAATCTTCACAAAATCCATAGCGGTAAGTTTTTCTTTTGAAGTTGTAACTTTGTGTTGCATTGTTAATATATATAAAGTTGAAGTGAGGTTACGGTTGCCTAAACTATTATATTTTGATACCTCAAATTTAATTAAATTACAACTTAGTCATTAGAATTATTGCGTTCCCGACGAGGTAATAAGACATAGCATGTGCAACCAAACACCCTGAGCCAAGCATACTTGGGAAGACGAGAATAATCTGGTACAGACTGCATTGATTAAGGACCGGAGTGATCTGCCTATTAATAAGGTACACTACCGTATGAACAGCTTCAACCCAAAAGCTAGTATGAAGGCAGGAATGAAAGAGTAGTGCCCGAGTGAGCTCCAGCACATGGCTATTCTTTTGCTCCACCAACCCGTTCTGTTGCGATACACCGGGACATGACTGCTGAGGTAGAATACCCTTTTGCAGAAATAAATCCTGCAAAGGATTAGATGAGAACTCCCCGCCGGGATCTAAGCGCATAATCTTGATTGTTTTCCCAAACTAAGTGGAAACCATCTGAATAAAGTCACGGGCTACATCAAAGAGTTCAGATTTCTGTTTGAGAAAGTAAACACACGTAAATCTCGTAACATGATCCATAAACAGAGCAAAATAGCGAAAACCAAGACGAGCTGTGACGGGAGAAGGCCCCCATAGGTCGGTGTGAACCAGATCAAACGGATCAACATACTCCGTGGTACTAGCACTAAATGAACGCTGAGAAATCTTAGCCTCCACACAATGAGTGCACGTATAATCAGGCCTAGTGCGAATGGTGCCAGACAACCAATTCTTCTTAAACATATCAAAAAGTCTCGATTTATGAGGGTGGCCAAGCTGAAAATTCCACAAATCCCAATCAGACAATTTAATAGAATAACCAGTATTGTCTAATTGTAAATGTGAATCAAAAGCAAAATCCTCCTCCTTAATGGTGCGAGCTGAAATGGAGTCCCGAGCTATAGTCCCGTCATCTGTACCACCCCGATCTCCCTCCTGGCGCTCATAGCAATCAAGGAGAAAAACACGACCCCGCTTACTCCCGTGCCCTATCACCTTCCCCGTCCTCATGTCCTGCACAGCGCACCCAGTGATATCAAAGCTAATTGGCCCACTAACACTAAATTCGGAAGAAGTTTTGGAACATAATAAGCATTAGGAAGCCACAACTGTTTACTTTGCATAGTACCCAGACCAGAAACGGATAACTGTGAACCATCAGCCACCTGCAGATGAATACCAGTACTAGGACGAATAGATAGAAAGGTCGATTTATTACTAGTCATATGATTCACAGCAGCAGAATCAAGATGCCACGGAGTAAGAGAAGAAGATACTGTACCAGTCGAGAAGGCAGCAGTGACCGCAGAAGGAAGAGATTCCTGGAGTGCTTCCTGAACTAAACGCCGTATCTCCGCAGAGAACACACCCGAGGAGCTAGCGGAACCAGCCGCCACCGTAATGAGGGTAAAAGGAGTAGTGGCATACGACACACCAGGAGGAGCACGGGGAGCAGAATAGCCCCGACCAGCAGAGGGAGACGAGCCTGAGCGACCACCATGACCTCGACCCCGCTGCGCAAGAATGTGACAATCCCCAATAACATGCCCAGCAGCCTTACAATAACTGCACACCACTCGCTCCGGGCAACGAACCTGGATGTGACCCGGTTCCTTGCAGTGATAACAAATGACCACCCCTAAAGGGGTACGACCAAACTGCGGAGGACCCTGCTGAACAGCAAAAACAGAACCAGAATCAGAGGAGTGAACATCAAGCTTAGCTTGAGCACGGAGACGCGTCTCCTCACGAATCAGCTCAGCCAAGACTTCCTCAATGGAGCCGATATTGCGATGAAGTATCGACGAGCGAATGCCTTTAAAAGCAGGGTTAAGACGCATGAGAAACCCCATCAGACAAGAACTGACACGCTCCTTAAGCACCTCAGCTGACACCGCTTCAGAAACAAGAGACGCCGTCAGCATGTCCTGCTCGGTCCAGAGATTGAGCGCAGCTTGATAGTAGGCACAGACATCCAGATCCCCCTGATGAAGAGTGGCATAGCAGTTTCCAGCTCAAATTTGCGCGAGATGTCAGCTTGAGAGTGGATATCACGCAAATGCTTCCACATGGCATGAGTAGTCAGGAAGGCCCGGAGACTAAGAGCAACGGTTGGATCCATTGACGACAAGATCATAGACATGACTTGAGCATTTTCAATCGCCCAATCTGCCTGAACCTTGGCTGAGGCATCCGCACACGGAGCAGGAGAAGTACCATCGAGAATAGGGAGCAACCGACGCCCCTGCACAAAAATCTGAAATTGAAGTTCCCACAGCGGGAAGTTCTTCCCATTGAAACGAACAGAGGGAACATCCTTAGCACCATCCATAACTGCAGAATAAGCAAGCAAAACCACCTCGTCCAAACACCCAAACTGCCAAGAACCACCCAAAAATAATAGACAGGCGAAAAACCAAGAATCACAACAGCAGCATCCAAGAATAATAAACAAACCAGCAGCTACATAGCAGCAGCCGAGAGGAAACGGGGACCAGGAAGAAGCAAATACAAAAGAGCAGCAGCTAGAGAAACGGGAACCAGGTTGCTGCTAGACTCGAGCTGTGTAGTTGGAAGTTGGAACCTCAAGCTGCGATGCTGTGGGAAGGAACCTAGAAAATAAGCCAAGAAACCACCAACAAAAATCGCCGCCAAGAAAGAACCCACAAACAAGCAAAAGAGACCGGAAGAAACCACAAAAGCGGACGCCGCTGAAGCCCATGGTCCAGAAATGCACGAACAAGAAACCCAGAAGAAGCCCACAAAAACGGAAGCCACCAGACGCACGCAAGCGCTGGAATTCAGAATCAATAAACAACCAAAAAGACAGAACCTGAAGCTGTGACACCAGAAAGCAGCGGACCAAAACAGAAGCCGAGAGACCAGAAATCGGCGCACCAAATAGAAACCAAAGCTCTGAAATCCACAAGATCAATCCCGAAGCTCTGATACCATGACAATCATAAACGGAATCACAAAGCAAGCACACAACACACCGAATTTACGTGGTTTCCTCAACGATAAATGTTGAGACTAGTCCACGGCACGAAGGCAGTTTTAGTTCTCTTATTAAATAGTGTTTCATAGAATTAGACATAGTCTAATGAGACTATGCCTAATTCTCATCGCCACCTAGTATACATATAAATAGGTTGGAAGTTTATATATGATTTTGTTTTCGGTCCGTTCAATTTTAGGGTGCATAGAAGTTTATATATGATTTTTTGCATCCTTCCTTATACCTCTCCTCGAAACTGAATAGACAAGATATTAGTGGCCTGTTTAGTCTTCTCATTCACATGTTGTTTGTCCTACCTCTACCATTCGGCTTTTCTTAACTCGAAGCTAGAGTCCTCTCTTATGTGGTTGGGAGATTTCTTGTCTCCGGTAGACCTCGTAAGTTGCTATTTACCCACTACCCACGATCGAAATTGTAAGCCATTATGCGAGTCTAGTGAATTGCATTGGTTTGACTTAGATTTATTTGGGGAAAGCAAACAATTAAGTGTGGGGAAATTGATACCGATAAAAATATATATGTTTAGATCCCCATATCTTGATTGTTTGACTTGGTCAAACTCATTCTTCAGCCTATTTTACACTAGGTTTTCCTTTTTTGTCATATTTCATGTCCTAGTGCGTGCATGGAGCCTAGGAACAAAATTCGGAGAATTTGGAGGAAAGAACAGGACGAAGGCAACATAAAATCTTATGTCACATCCAGGTTGCCCAATGTCACGGCCATGGCGGTGACTCTCACCTCCAAGGCGTGAGGTGAACAAGAAGACAGGAGGAAAACACAAGTTACATCCACAGCTTCAAAAGCCACCGTTGTGGGTGTCACTTCACACCAAACCATGACTTGCCCCCTAATGATAAATGAAACAAGCAAGTTTTGGGCAAGTCACAACCTAAGCCATGTTCGTGGCCCAAACCCATGAACCAGGCTATGAGCCATGCTCTACACTCGGGTATAAAAGTTTGTTTTGTGAGTTTTGAGAGAGAACTAGATTTTTCAGTCAAAAACATCAAAGGTAACGTGTTAAACCGTTCAATGACATGATAGTCTCAATTTTGTTATAATAATTAACATAATTAATGAAATTTATCTTGTAATTTTTGCAACTAATATCATCAAATAAAGTTTTTCACAAAAAAATATTTAAGATTTCGAGCTCATTTGAAGAAAAGGATTTGGACTAGAGATTCATTGAATCCATAGATCCAACAGAAAATTATATTTTATTGTTCTTTTTGTAACGTAGATTTTAGCTTCAAAGATTTCAAATCTCTTAAATCTAGAGATATCAAATTTCTGATATTTAGATAGGTTTTACATCTTGATATGTGATATTTTTTCTCCTACTTTACCTCTTATTTTTTTTTGTTTCTCCCATTAAATATCCTTACCATCAAATTCTCAATATTTTGAGTTAAGTCTGATTCTTTTAATTAAGGGTAAACATGTCATTTTATATAAAAATAGAATTTCTATTATTCTTGAATATTAACAACTCACATTTAATTATCAAACAAAATAAAATTTAAATTGATTTTCAAAAATCCGGAGAGTTAGAATCTTTGAATTGTTTACAATCTAGAGATTAAGGCTAAATTCTCCGAACGTGTTATATGATTGAAGGATTTACGGTTGAGGAATCATGGTTATGGTTTAGCGTTTATGATTTGGGGTTTAGGTATAGGATCCAAAATTGAACGTTTAGAGCTTAGCATAATGCATTTATTAGATTTGATCATTTATTTTATCATCGTATTAAACCAATTCGACTAATTAAAATTCAAAATTCACCATTCATATAAGAATAAGGATAGGAAAGGGCTGGTAATGGAATGTCATTATTGTTTCCTATCTTATGTCGCTTGCAAAATGTAGCAACTTACATTTGATGATGGAAACTTGGAAAAAAACGTACATGGAAAACTTTACAGTTTGACATTGATTTGTACATTACGTTTTTTCATGTATATACATTATTAGTAAAAGGATTTCCTCTTGCTAGAGTTTGACACTTGACCTACCACTACTTACCTCAATGTTCAGTATCAAAACCACTAATTTCCATTCTTATCTAAACTCAAAAGCATCATATACCTCTTTTGTTTACTCTATTCTATCAATGTCATGAGGAAACTATTGATTTGGTTCCAGCCTTGTTGAACTATGGGCTTGACACTACACATGGAAACACAATGGGTCATCTAGATAATATATTTAACATGTACGCCGCCTCAAACTCAACTTCGAAGTTGTTGCCCACCCTTTTTCAGGTTGTCCTTACGTGAATTGGTAGTGCCGCGGATAACTGTCAACACCTAGTTATTGATCTTTAGCATCATGGGTTGCCAACTCATATCTGTCCAAACTGCTAGTTACTTGAGACAATCTGTTTTTGGTTCGTAACATCAACCTCCATGGAAATACACTCGAAGGGGGTTAAGAGTTCCTAGATGGAAATACACTCGAAGGGGGTTAAGAGTTCCTAGAAGGAGATTTTAGACATTTGTGTGATCCTTATGCCTGCCAATTGGGGCTAGAGTGAAGAGGAAGCTCAGCCATATTAATGCAGTTGCATCTACTACCATAAACGATATCCATGTACAGGGATGGGATTAGGTGCTAACTCTTATAGGGGTTAGCACCGTGATAACTAGCAAAATACGCTACTAAAAATAACGAAATCACTACGAATTATTATAAAATCAATACAACATCTAAGCTAAATCACTACTAATTCAAACTAGTAGTAGTTTTTCCCTTGGTTAGGACAGTGCTAACTATTGTACAATTAGCACCGTAACTCCTCCCCATGTACACAATCAATATAACCGACTGGAAAATTTCAACAAATTTGTTGCGTCATTCTCTACTGCATCCTGCTAGGGTCATTTTCATCGAACCAAATCACAAGTCAGCCTTCTTCCACCAACGGTAATCCCATTCCCCCACACTGTAATGCCCCATGAGGAGGCCATGTGATAGAAAACTGCATTTCTATTTATTTAGCATTTGGGACTTATTTGTTAGTTTATGAATGTTTACGAATTTATGGGTACTTGGGGGATTTGATTGGGGTTTAATAAGTTGGGGTAGTTATCGGTAATTACGAATTGTTATTTAAACTATTTTTCTACTGTTCTCCGGCGAGAAAACTTGCGTTGAAACGAATTGAATGCACCTTGACTTCTTTGGACAACGATCACTAAGACACAGTTCACACCTCTTCAAACACGGTTCGAACGAGGGTGTTCGATGTTTACACGACTCACGAGACAGATCTACATTAAGTTACTCCTACTCCTATGGAGGTTCAGTGAGAGCTCCGGATCTACGACTACGACTAAAATTGCAGAGGAAGGATAAAGGGATAAAATTTGACATTATGTTGTCTGGTGTGAATTTGGCCCCCTTTCCTCTGTCAACTCCTCCTCCTATTTATAGGCCTTGAGATGATAACCGTCATAGAAACTGTCTTAGAGTAACTTCCAAAAGGAACTGCTCTCCTTCTTTCTCGGACATGGCTGACGTGTCAATGCACGTGGGATACTCGGCAGTTTCTCCGTTAACCGCCTGCTCTTCATCCTGGAACTGTCGTCTTGTTACTTGCCTCTCCCACATGACTTGCCTTCTTACTTCCAACTTGTTAGCTCGGATCTTGGGCATGGTCTCACGATGTGGCCTAGATCTCGCGCCGCATAGAGCTCTAAGTTTGACGCCAACGTGATCTAGATCTCATGACCACGTAGAGCTCTAAGTTTGACGCCAACGTGGTCTAGATCTCATGATCACGTCAGGCTCTAGATTTGAAGTCAATATGGTCTATATCTCATGACCACGCCGGGCTCTAGATTTGAAGCCAACGTGGTCTATATCTCATGACCACGTCGGGCTCTAGATTTGATGCCAACGTGGTCTAGATCTCATGACCACGTCGGGCTCTAGATTTGAAGCCAACATGGTTTAGATCTCATGACCACGTCGGGCTCTAGATTTGAAGCCAACGTGGTCTAGATCTCATGACCACGTCGGGCTCTAGATTTTAAGCCAACGTGGTCTAGATCTCATGACACGTCGGGCTCTTCAACTCGCGACGCTTTGAAGCCAACGTGGTCTAGATCTCATGACCACGTCGGGCTCTAGATTTTAAGCCAACGTGGTATAGATCTCATGACACGTCGGGCTCTTCAACTCGCGACGAGACTAGCTCCTTCTTGGAGACTTAGTTTGGGGCTTAAAATTATTATCATGAGGCCCAGTTCAAATAACACTAATTGTTATTAATGATCTGGCCTTATAAAGGCAGTTAGTGCATTGTAAGTAATCAGTGTGGTACACTAGTATTTTTTAGGTGTAAACATCTACGTCGAATGAAGATTAGCAAATGATTAAACCCTAATTACCTAGCTCTCTCTCTCCCTTTCACCTCCCTTTGGCCGACCCCTTTCCTCTCTCAATCGGCTGCTGCGCAACCTTCTTCTTCTTCCTTTCCCCTCCCTACCACGTTCCACCTCTTCTTTCCCTTTTCTTATACTCGCACAAGCAGAGCCATACTAGGCTCTTTATCCCAATTCTCACACTTTTCCTTTTATTAGATAGAATCCGGGAAACGGATTTCAATCATCTAGTATCAGAGCCTGATTCCAACTATTGAGTTTGTCGCAACTCTACACCGGGACGGGCAGCAGAACCATGGCGATCACCAAGTCTCCGGCAGAAAAGTACGACGCTGGATCCAAGGCGGCGGCGGCCACGACAAGGGCTTCCTCGCCACTTGCGGACAATCGGCGCGAAGGAGACGTGGTGGATGAGACGGAGAGTGACGATCTCCAAGCCTTGATGCGCATCATCATGGCGATGCAGTTGAGGACCGACTCCAACATGGAGGAGGTGCGGGCTGAGGTGCAAGAGGCCAGGCGTGAACGTGACGTGATCATGCAACTCCTCACCAGCATGCAGGAGGAACAGAGGCGGCAGCATTGGGGTTCGGCGGGTGGCAGGCCCGCGCGCGGGCGCTGGAGGAGGAAGCGCGGCGGTCCCGGCGGCTAGCAGGGCGGCGACAGGGCTAGGAGGAGGGGCAACCGCGGAGCAGGCAGCGGTCGAGCGAGTGGGCCTCGTAATGGGCCCGGGTTACTACCGACTTCGACGGCTGAGGACATCGCGGCCATACGTGGTAAAGCGAAGATGCTGGGCTACGACAACGTGGTCCAGAACCCGTGTTTCAAACCAATGGGCCCACACTCCATGGAGCGCGAGATGGGCCGAGTGCAGCGTGCCGGGGGCGGGTTCAATCGGGCAGGCGGGGCGGACAGGGTCATGGTGAACCGGTCAGGCCCAAATGGCCAAACCGGATCGAGCTGGGTCAAAGGCGGTCGGACCAGGGCTGGGTGGACCGAAGCCGATCGAACTGGTGACGAGTGGACTGTTGATGGTCGGCCCGGGGCAGGGTGGACCGAGGAGGGTCGACCGACAGCGACCGAACTAGGGCCAGGTGGACCACCAATGGCCGAACCAGGGTGGGCCGAACCACAAGCGAACCCCACCAGTTCGGGTTGACTCCGGATGGCTGACCAGTAGCTGAATGGAGGGCCCAGCTAGAGGGCTCAAGTGCATACGGACCTCGATAGCAGCAGGAGATTCAGGGGGTCAACCGGGTGGGTACAGAGACTACTCAGGCGAGAACGAACATGGCTGGGGTGCAGGAGACGAAGCACGTGGACCTCTAGTGTATTATAGAGGCTACCCCAGTGCTGGCAGGTATGGTGGATATGACCGATATGATGATGAGTATGGGTTGGTGTTTAGGGCCAAGCCCCCGACCATTGAGTTTCCAAAATTCAATGGCCAGGAGGACGCCAGTTTATGATTATATGCAGCTGACAGGTGGTTTAGAAATCACCCGAACCGGGAGGAAAGGAAGGCGCAACTGGCATCCTTCTATCTGGAGGGAGACGCCCTGCACTGGTGGGAGTGGTTAGAGCGATCCTATGCTGCCACGCAGATGCTGATTACTTGGCCGATATTCCAGGAGGAGCTTCGCTACCAATTCGACAAACCCGAGGGGTGGGCGCCGGAGCAGCTAGCAAAGCTCAGGCATACTGGCTCGGTAACTGATTACCGGCCAGAGTTCATCAAACTGGGAAATCAGTGTAAGGGAGTTCCAGAAGAGACCCTGGTGGGCATGTGCGTGGCAGGTCTAAAACCAGAGATTGCTGCAGCAGTCAAGATTTTTTAGCCAGATACCTTGCGGGCTGTCTTTCGTCTTGCAAGGCATAAGGAGGAGGAGCTGGCAAGCTGGAGGAAAGTCATAGGGCGTTTCCCCAAGTCTGGAGGGGGAGGCCACGCCGGAGCAGGGAGTAGCGGAACTGGCGGCACAACTATTACTACTAGCAGCGGGGGTAGCGCGAGGGCACCGCCTAAGGGATTTGTCAGGCTAAGCTCAGCAGAGATAGATCAGAAGAGAAGGGAAGGCAAGCGCTTCAACTGCGATGAGCGGTTCACCATTGGGCATAAGTGTGCAAAGCCGGACTTAATGATGTTGGTGGGAAGATGGGAGGACGAGGCCGAGGAATATGCGACGGAAGGCAGGGGCGAAGATCAGGTGGAGTACTGGCAACCTTGAGGACAAGGTTGATTCGTAGGAGGCAGGAATGATAGAAACCTGCATTTCTATTTATTTAGCATTTGGGACTTATTTGTTAGTTTATGAATGTTTACGAATTTATGGGTACTTGGGGGATTTGATTGGGGGTTTAATAAGTTGGGGTAGTTATCGATAATTAGGAATTGTTATTTAAACTATTTTTCTACGTATGGAGATTAGCAAATGATTAAACCCTAATTACCTAGCGCACACTCTCTCCCTCTCACCTCCCTTTGGCTGACCCCTTCCCTCTCTCAATCGGCTGCTGCGCAGCCTTCTTCTTCTTCCTTTCCCCTCCCTACCACGTTCCACCTCTTCTTTCCCCTTTCCTATACTCGCACAAGCAGAGCCATACTAGGCTCTTCATCCCAATTCTCACACTTTTCCTTTTATTAGATAGAACCCAGGAAACGGGTTTCTATCACCATGACAGTAGAACAGCCAGTTCACGCCAATGGAGAGATAATCGAAAGGGACGCTGGTTTAAGCAGGGCTATTGCTTGCTGAGAAACTGTTGCCGCCAAGGTAGTCAAACCGGTTTAAGTCATTGAGCCGGCCAAGTCAGGGGTGTGAGGTTTAATGTTCTGATCGGGATCCGACTGGTTTGAGCCGTTGTAGACGATTTCTAAATATATATATATAAATAAGGAAGTAATTAAAGATTTTTAATGACTGAAGTGAAGTTTATCTTACTTGTATCTATTAAGAACTTATTTTCCACAAAATAAATCTATCTAACCTCCATGACCCACTCACCATCTTCTTTCCTTCGTTCCTCTTTCTGTCTTCCCCCTCTCTTCTTCTTCCTCTTTAGGGGTCAAACCAAAGACTTTTTATAGTCCGTTTTGAAGCCCACCTTTTGGTCTAAAGCGATCTCACTTATTATATTCAAGTACTCTACAACAAACAAGAAGCCGAGATTATCCATACACACTCTAAGTTTGAAACAGAAAATCAACAGAGCCACACTTTGAACTCTAAAATGAATCTAACCAAGTTAACCTTTCTCAGGCTTCTCAAATCAGAGCAGTATATATGAATTCAACCAACAATTCCAATGAGGAATCCAGGAAGCTACTTTATTTTAGTTAACTAAGTAGATAAACATACCTCAACATGGGTCTCATCGATCTTCCTTTTCTGATGGCGTGTCATTTTTAAGCTTGTTACCTTATCCTCCACCTTCTCGTCAACTACAGCCTCAACGGAGTCCAGATCAAGCTGATCAAGTTTCACCCATTCATCAAGCCTCCTGTTAACTGCCAACGAAACATAAAATGGCACGAATTAAGTGAAAGCCAACCCTAACCCTAATTTCAGTGAAAATTGGGGGGAAAACTAAATTCGACTCGAATTGGATGCTTACACTCGGTGTAATGAACATAATACTCGTAATCGCTAACTCCGGAGTACGAAACCTTCCTCCTTTCAATAACCTTCACGGGATGATACTTGCCATCTCTCCAGCGGCACATGACCCGAGTTCCAACCTCCAGCGGGAGCGAACTACCTCTCCTTTCCTTCAAACTGTCTGTTTCCATAGAAACCGTGTTTCCGGGCAAGGAAGGCATTTCGTCGATGGCAGATTGACTCTCTTGTTCGACGTTAGAATTGCCGCCAGCAGAGGTCGGCGCCGATGTTCCGTTCTCCGTCAGTGGAGGCGTTGCAATCGAACCCATTCTTGGAAGCCGGAGTAGACAGACGGCGAGCAGTGAGAAGGAAGAAATCGAGGATGGCCAATATGGGCTTTTTATTTAGCCCGCTACTTTTATCGTCCCTCTTCGATTAGGTGGGCCGTCTAGTGGACTTTACAACCAAACCGGTCCAGTCAACTCATAAGTCATAAGTCATAACGCAAAATTCTCGCTCAAACCGGACAAGTGACCCTAACCAATATTTCAAAAACTCTATCGTACCGACGACTCGCACTGGAAATATCGAATATCCAACCCAATTCGATAGGCAATTTTAATGGTAGGAAAATGATTGAACTACAATTAACCAAGATTATAACACAAATCCTCATTCACCGCCAGCAGACCACCACCGCTGCCGCCGCCCCACCGGCCACCACCACCGCCACTGCAGTAGGGGTGTTCAAATGGTTACCGTGGTAGTAACCAAACCAATTAAGCCTAAATTTCATTAAGCATGGAATAAAATGTCTTAACCAAACCGTCCAATTTAACACAAAAACCAAATTAACCAAACTAAAGTTTAATTGGTTTGGTTAATCAGATAATCGTATTAACCAAATAACATAACATTACATGAAAACAATTATTCTATTAATGAATAAAATATAACCATATGTTATTACTATCATAAACTATCATTATATATAAGCAATAATAATAAGACTAACCATCCATGATTATCATCATCATTCGAGTTAATACATCATTCATCATCTTTGCACCTAATATAGTTAGCTTACAACAAATCCTTAACATAAATATTAAATACATACCAATACCACTCATTAGGAAGTTAAAGCTCTCCTACAAAACATTTAAACTATACATAGTTTGAGGTGGCTGTCATGGTATTGTACGCAATCCTAAAGTCTAGTAGCTCTCCAAAATGTTTTGGTTTAGTAAATTAGCAGACCTATTTAATTTTTGACCCATAATGTTTTGGTTTGTTGTGCACATGGAAATAAAATAGGAAATCACGAAAGTTTGGTTTGGTTGGTTTCATGGAAGTATAAATAATTTTGTATATTAGGTGTATCATTAATTGGTTAATTGCTTTCATTGGTTAGCAGTTTGAAACCAAACCACCTAAATAAGCTAAGTTGTTTAACCAAACCAAACCAATTATCCAAATTAACCAAACCATATTAACCGAATACTATCAGTTAATAAGGTTACCACGGTAACCAATCCGTTTGAACACCTCTAACTGCCAGATCCCGTCCTAGTGAGCGGACCCCATCCGATCTCGACGGGCGGACGCCGTCGGATCTCAGTGGGCGGACTCGACGGACGAAAGCCGTCTGCGAATGCTGTTCGACGACGGCAGGAGGACGAATGAAACCCCCAGAACTCCGGCGGCGGTTTTTCAGACCACGCATTTAGCGACATTTTCAAAATCGTCACAAAAGCTTGTCGTTAAATGATCATTATTTAACTAAATATTCTATTTAATAAATAATCATACTATGTCAACAATTAAATTTATGTTTATTAATTATATTTATCAATTAGAATAACTATAAATTATTCATAAAAAACTTTTAATTATAATAAATATTATACAAAGTAATTGATACTTATTTTTTAATGATGTAAATATAGCTAAAATAAGTAAATTAAGTATAGTATCAATTAAAATAATTATAAATTATCTGATGTTGTGTATAAGAGAATGGATATTTAATTATAAATTATCATAAATCTTGTAAAAAATTGTGAATAATTCATTTTAAATATGTAGAATAATTATAAAATATTTATAAATTTTGATTAAACCTTTTTAATAGTATTCATTTCATAGTTAATTAAATCATCGTCCCTAAACTATGTTTTATAAAACTTCCAAGGAATTGGGGCACGAAGAGGACCCTTTGTGGCTTGCCGAAGGTCGGGCAAAAACATCTTTTCGCAATTACTAGAGTCACCGACATCAAAACTTAATGAAACCCTCATCGATCTCGTAAAATGTGGATATATGTATGTGTTGGAATCGACCGTTTCTCAATCGAACATTCCTGACAAAAAGAGATGAATAGTGCCAAAACTTCTATCGAGGTTTTTTAAAGGCTCTAGGGTGGTAACTAGGAGTTTCTTGAGCCTATCATGTATATTTCCACGATGCGAAACATTGTTGTTGTGGAGGCAGAGAAGATTTTGCCTCTAAAATAATGTCATAGTAGGATTGAATGGATCGAGGTTGAAGGTAGCTATTCAAGGGGAATGAGAGTTTAGGGTTTCAGTGGAGTATAAGGTATAGGAGGTGGATGAGATGCTTTCCTTCTTTGTTGTCATTATTGGTCCAGTTGAGTAGAGTTGATTCTTAGGGGTTGTTTGGAGAATGAGAGTAAGAATGAAGAGATTATAATAAATCTAAAGATTTGAACTCATGAGATTGTTTGATTATGATTCTGAAAAATTCAATGTATGGTAATTGTGATTTAGTGAAAATATAAATTCTAAATTGTAATGAAAGGACATATTTGCCCTAAAAAATTAAGACGGTAAAAAAGACCATTGTCGTGTCTTTCCCGCTGAATTCTCCCGTCACTACAGCTTCCTTCATGTTCTATTCTTTTTCTAAACCATCACCCTCATCAAAGCACAATCGGTGAGTTCTCCCTCCATTCTTCCTTCATGGTCTATTCTTCTTCCAAACCATCACCCTCATCAAAACACATATGGAGCAGCTTCTAAATAGTCTGCAATAATTCAAACAAAAAGGCAGCAGAGCAACGACATAAAAACAACTCTCCTACAGTAGCCGACAATGATTCAAATTTCTGTTGTAATATTATCCAACGTAAAAATGCAGCAAAGCAAATCCATAATAAAAGGATCTCTCCAGTAATGCTCGCTAATAAAAGAAACTCTCAACAAGCTAGAATCCTACCTTTCAGTCTACAGGTTCCAAACTATAAAAAAACTACTGATACTTCAGCTTGTTCTAACAACTGCCACAACCAAACCAAAGGCGCCACTCTCCAAAAGCTGGCTTCACTTCAACGGATGAGTTCCAGGAGAAAGCTCAATTGATCTTCTGCTGGGAGTTGGTAATATAGATCAGCAAGGCTAACATCCTTCACTAATGCGATTGAAGCTTTTAAGACCTGGTTTCTTGTAAGGCCTTCAACTTTGGATAACTCCTCAAACAAACTCCTACGCCTAGAAATCAGATCATCCTCCATGCAAAAGCTATTGGCAATCCTGTGAACGTCTGTAGCTGTTTGTTCCATCATAGGCTGCAATTTGCCAATCTCAGCTGTCACTGCAGTTATGAATGCTTCATTTCTCTCATGTCTTGGCTTTTTGTTGCTTCCAGTTGATGTTCTAGGCTGCATTTTACTAGTATCAGCTTCATCACTGAGTAGAGTCCTGGGATCAACCTCATCATGGACCATATCCTCTAGGATACGTTGGGTTGTTTCAACATCCAAATTAACACAAGGTTCCCCATTCTGGTCAGCTCTGGTTTCCCTAATGTCAACTGATGTTTGTGCCTGGCCACCCATTGCCCTATCTTTCCCAAAAATTCTGGCTAGCTGGTCAAAGTATAGGAATGGTTTTTTGTTCAGTCCTTTGCAGCCTGGATGACTCTACAAAACAATATTTGATTATCATGTTCACCTATGTTACGAATCAACAACACAAAACTTGTTTAAACATATATGATAAATTGTAGTGTACCTTAATCCATTCATTGAACACATCATTGTCAGCAATCACACGCTTCCTGCTTTCATCCCAACCAAAGCCACTGCAGCTTCCGCCTTACACCTCACAGATAGCAGTGTACTTGATTTTAAAGTAGCGATGTCTGGATTGGATGTGAGGCTGAGCCTTCATTTTAAAGTCTGACATCTTCTTATGAATCATGGCCTCTAGCTTATTGAGTCCATAAATTTTGAACTTCCCACCTTCAGTTTCTCGTGATTGAGTTAGCTCTAGCATGGCCTCGATCAAAGAAACATCCTGTTCCGGCGTCCATTGCATATACTCACCTTTTTTCTTTCTCGAGGCAGGTCCGGCATCGTTGGACTGAACTTGGTTTGCAAGTTCCATAGCTGGTACGACATACAGTTACAAGCATCAAGGCAGACTTGGTTAACCAATATGGAGCACACAACTGACATAAAGAACATATAACTCATAGTGCAAGCTGCTACCCCACATATTAGGTGTGAAGACTTTCACAAGGCTAGCCTCTAGCCCACGTATTGGATGAGAGAGTTACAATAATAAACAAACAAAAAGAAGAACAACACAAATTATGCAGATTCGCTTTAAGAAGGCTAGTTGTTGTCCACGTATTTGGTAGTAAGATCAACCTACAAGCAAGCAAACAACCACCAAAATTATGCACATTGGATGAATAATGCTAGCTGTGAAAATCAATAACAACTCCCCATTGTGGATAAGTGCTAGCCCTCGTACATAAACACGATCAACATACTACACAACAGTCAGCAAGATAGATGTAAATCATTATAAGAAGAAACATAATCACTAGGCAGGTTCCATGCCACTAATAAAGAAGTAAAATAACCAACTCAACTACAAAACCATAAGAACCATAATATCCAGCTCCTAAGTACAATTGAAAACAAAGTAGAAAATGACAACGCCATTGATATAACTATTGACCCGCCCAACTCCTATTTGCCCACATATATTGGGCAAGATTGTTCCTAAATTGAGTCCATTCTGCTGTGGGTTGGATGTGCATGATAAGATCATCATTTTCCATCGACACTGGTTCTTCAGAATTATCTTCATCCATGTACAATCTCTCCCACACATCAACACCAACCTCTCCCCGTATGTAATTGTGAAGCAAACAGCAAGCATTGACCATTTTTGCTACCATGGTTGTTGAATACCAAGTTGTATCTCTTAAAATTGCCCATCTCATCTTTAAAATACCAAAAGCTCGTTCAATAGAATTTTTCGCAATTGCATGCCTCATATTAAACATCTCCTCGAGAGTTCTAGGCCTATTCCTACCCCATTCTTTCAAGTGATAACGCTGCCCTAAAAAAGGTGAGAGGAATCCTTGACAATTACTATAGTCGGCATCACACAAACAATAGTTCCCCAAAAAATAGTAGAAGAAAGTGTATTGTAAAAAGTCTGCTAAAACAGTGAAAATATTAACAACTTCATACTAACAACCACTACCTCTTGGGACCTTTAAAGCATTTGGTCGAACAAGAGCATCTCTAAGTACTCGTCCGTTATGAGCTGATCCCTCTCAACCAGCCAAACAATAGATAAATTTCATGTTTGTATTACAAACACCCAAAACATTCATACCAATGGTTCCTCTACGAGTGCGCTATCTTTCTTGCATCTACTTTGTCGCTCAGACACTTATTATTGTTCCATCCAAATCACCAAGACAATTCTACGTATAATTTGACCAATCATCCAGTAAGAGGTTTCCTAAAATAAGTGTAAATTTATCACATATTGTTAACAAATAAAGTTATTAACCTTGAAATGCTTCCACTTGAAGTCAGTTGAATTCTCTGGGACAGGTGCAGGTTTATGGAGTAGTATTTTGTGAAGTTTCAACACAAGAAGTAAGACGAGTTTAAAAACTCGACAAATGGTTTCTCCGGATCGGCGAAAAATCTTTTGCAATACACAATTTTTCTCATTATGAGCTATTGTGTATAGGAAGATAGCAACCATCTCGTCTATTTCCATGTAGCAGCTACGACGTAGCCCTCCCTCATCTCCAAGAAGATTACAAAGCTTTTTAAAAGCTTTGCAATTCATCCTAATGAGCATAGTGCTCGAGATATCATTGTGGTAAGTTACAGCACTCATAAAAAGAATTCCTAGCATTTTGACGTGCAATTGGTGTCTCCCAAGAAGTAGCATTTGATATATTTAGCAAAACTCTTTTGACTTTCTAGTGCCTCCGACAGTAAGATATGTAACTTTAGATAACAAAACAGGACTTCACAGAACATCTAAATCACAGCAGCTACAACCTTTCTCCTATGAATTGGACATCGTGCCATTGCCTTAGCATCAAACATAAAAATAAGGAGACAAACAAACTCAACACAATTAACACTAAGGCAATGTAGCAAATACGACAAGAGAAGAAACATATTAGGAAAAGAAACAGGAAATCACGAACACAGTGAAGAAACATGGCAAGCTAATAAACCTGGTAAGATAAGAAACTAACACTCCAGTAAAGGCATCCAATTCTAATTGACAGAGTACCATCTCAATACTATACTTTCAAAAATCAGGGAGAAGAAGCAATAAGGACCAGAGTTGCATGCACATATGGAAAGCACAAATACAGAGAAGACACAAGAGTTCCAGTAAATACATCCAACTAAAACTCCATCAAAATTGTAATACTGTGTGTTTGGAATTAGGGACAAGAAGCCATAAGAACCCAAGCAAACAAGAATTGGAATATTAAAGCAATGTCGTGAAGAAAAGCTTGAAATTGAAGATACGAAAGAAAGGGAACATACCCTCCAATCGATGAACAACGAACGGCGATTACCGGAAAGTGGAAACCAGCGTTGAGGATGTTCTGAAGATGGATGTCAGGTCTACCAAATTTTTTTTGCTCGATGGGATTCCTTTTTATTGAGAAGCTTGCTGCGGCTGCTGGGCTGAAATAGAGGCAGGAAGAGAATCCAATACGTCAAAAAGAAGAAGGTGGGAGAGAGAGATAATTATTAATTACAAAAGTAAAAATTGAAGGGATATCGTTGGTAAAAAATTCTCTGATAAATTATTGATTCCAAATCTCTACTTTTTAGAGAGATTTGATATTTCTATTTTTTAGAGTTTGTAAATCTCAAAAATTAAATCCAGATACGTTAATTGTGGCAAAAAAACAAGGCTTTTTATTAATCAATAGATTCAATGAATCTATATCATGAATCATGTTCTCCAAACGACCCCTTATTGTTGTTATCTGTCAACTTGGGTGAGATTATTTCAACTGTGGTCAAACCCTAATTAAATCAAACCCTAATTTCGGTCAAACCCTTCTTTTTTTGACTTGTTAGTTAAATGTGGGTGGGATGTTAAATTGAGTGTAAATAGGGAACTATTGTTAGACGTGGGAGGAAGTTTTTTAGGTAGTTAATTAGGAAAATAAGCATTAAACATGAGTAATTGGGGAGGATATTAGGTTTGGTTGTTAAGTAAGGAAATACAAATTCGATTGTTGGTGAGAGACGTAAGATTGGGGGCGAGAAATACAAATTAGAGGCTGTTAATTAGAAAGGTTCCTTACGGAAAATTCTTACTCAAAATAAAATATTTCATTAATGTAAACTTAAAAATTTTACCATAAAAAACTCCTCTATTCTACCGCTCAACCAAAAAAAAAAATCTACCAAAACTATATCAACGGAAAAATCAATCGTACCTTAAAAATCTCCCTTTAATTGGGAGTGGATCCGGTGCATAACCTTCAGGTCAATAACCATTCATAACCCAATCAAAATCCGCCACATTAGGGTATCTTCTCTCTCCTGAAAAGACTTTAATTTTTTCCCTTATTTTGTTTATAATGGTAATTTGCATTAAAGAAAAACAAGAATACAAAGTTCAACGAAAAAAACCATAAAGTGTCTTGAGTTCACAAGGAGCGAACTGCAAGAACACCGGCAAAAACAACACAAAAATAGAAGTCCGGACACAAGGAACAAAACACAGGCTAACGAAACGAAAAACAGCCCGAAGAAAGCTAAAACAAGAAACCAGGCGCAAGCAAGATCGAACGGAAATGGCCAGTGGACCAGACCACTTCCGCCAAACAACACGCACAAACTGCTGGCAATCATGCCTCCAAAGCTAGGAGCAAAAACACAGCAATGCTGAAAAGCAGGAGTAGAAGAGGAAGCCCCACCAAAATCGTCTTCCCCATTGAACCCAAAGAACAATCACCCTCGTACCCCTTAAAGGACCGCAACCAATCTTCCACAACCAGCAGCAAGAGGCCATCAGCATCCAGCTAAGATTTCGCGAATCCAGCTCTCCCCTTGACCCTTCTCAACTTTTCCGTGAGTCACAAGCCATTACATTGTATTCCTAGATGCCCTTCTAGCAACCGCATTAGTAGACCTCGATTTCTCTTCAAAAACTCTGATTTCTTTCCAACCACACGAACCACCAAACAGCGTGTCCAATGCATTCCTTAAACCATCCATCCACGCTGTCCGGTTTTGAATGTGAGCGTTTTTATATAATCGCGGTTAGATCCTCCCCCTGAGCTTGCAAGCCAAGTCTGAATCGGACGATTCGTCTCCAAATTTCTTGGACAAATTGGCATTCCACGAACAGATGATAGGATGATTCTTCCTTAGTGTAACACAAACAACATCTGCTCGCCATTGACCAACATCTCTTCTTCAAGTTTTCCGTTGTAAGGATCCTATTATGGTACACCAACCACAAGAAATAACAGACTTTGCTTGGGACCACGTTCCTCCATATTTTGTTTTGCTTGAAAATTGATCCATCCTTGAAGAACATCCTGAACAAGGTTCCTGTAACAAGAGCTCAAGTAAACCTCATATTTTGTTTTGCTTGAAAATTGATCCATCCTTGAAGAACATCCTGAACAAGGTTCCTGTAACAAGAGCTCAAGTAAACCTGTCATTCGCATCAGGATTCCACACGATTCTGCAAGGACTGCAAGAGTTATTATTCATGTCAAAAGTACTAAGATACTGTAACAAACTAAATCTCTCTCTCACTCCCCCCCCCCCCAAGAGAATATTTAAGATTAAGGGATCATAGAACAACCTCACCTTTAAGGGATGCTATGTCGGATAGAGTAGCTTCGGGGTCAGCAGCGGCAACATCAACGCGAGGAAACGAAGTAGCCAGCACCTTCCCCGGAGTCCATCGATCGTGCCAAAACGAGATTTCAGTGCCATTTCCTGGATCCAGACTTGCAAAATTTCAGAACTTATCATATCCTTTAGATATATTTGCCCACACGGACTGAGAAAACCCCACTCTATCTCTCGAGGACTGCCACACAGAAGAGGGATTGTGATATTTGCATT